ACGGTCGGCCTCGGCCACACTCGGTACGGCTCGGTACGGCTTGGCCGCGTTGGGCCTTAACAGGGCCGACTCACTTCATGCTGCGCTTCCATTACAGTTTAGGAACTGGGGTAGTTACTATAGTAACGCAGTGTAGGCGGAGCCGTGACGTCATCTTCAATGAGAAATCCAGAAACACAACACAGCCGTCAGAGCTCACAGCTCCTTATATATGTTCAGAAACTCGACAAAAGTTAAACAAGTACACACCACAGACTGCCTGTGTCATGGTGAATACAGTCGCTGCTTTATTTATGTCTGTATAGGCCGTTGTTGTGAGTGTGGACGGTCGGGGCATATACTGCGTTAGCTTAGCCAATCTCCATCTAGAAAAACACGAATTTTAAAAGGTTTTTCGCCTGCCGTCTGTCTGCAGACTTGACAAAGCATTAATTCATGGTTTTTACTAACCGGTATCAGTATGTTGTTACTTCGGCATCATTTTGAAACGTGTATTACAATTAAATCACGGTCAAATATGTCCATCTTGTTGTAGTTCTAGCCCTCTTGCCAGCGCTCCTCTCTCTAGTTTAGCATACTCAGCCCGACTCAGCCCTGTTTGTTGGCCCCGATAGAACCACAATTTTCTAGGGCCAGAAAAGAGGGGAAAAAGTGGCCCCGCGCCGTGCCGCGCCGGAACGAGGCCTAGTGGAAGCACAACCAAAAAAGGGGACGGCACGACACGGCACGCTTAAAGCGAGCTACGCGCTGCAATGGAAATGCGCCATTAGTGTGTTCACACGTTTCCAGTTCTGTTACTACAGTGCTGAGTCATGATTCGGTCAAAGGACACTCGAGCTTATTAGCATGACATCACCAAAACGTTACGGGACATTGTGCTTTCATAAGCCTATTTTTACCACTGCCATTGTGCGAAAAAAGTTAATTGGAACTGCGACTTCTTTGGAAGAAAAGAAGAAAATAACAGGACTAGAACAAAGCCAACAATAACAGGGTGTCTATGGATGGATTTGGCTGTGTAACTGATAGTAGTCAGTTAACTCGCTCAATGCTCCTTTGTTCTTGTGTTACACCACGTTTGTTTTAGCCTCTACAATTAGCCTGTGACTTCAATTTGTGGTAACATTGGGCTCTTTTCACCCAAAGTCAGCTTTCTTTCAAAGGCGCAGCAAGAAATATCTTCATGTAGGCTTTTGTAAAAAAGGAACTGAATATTTTAAAACATCCTTTTTGTGGCACCTTTTTTTTTTGCCAATAAAGGAAAAATATTCAGGATTTTCTTCCCTTATGGGTTTTTCCTCATTTTTGTTTCTTAGACATTTGCATTTAAAGTGAAACACTTAAAGGTGGGGTATGTCGTTTATTTCAGAAACACTTTTTGTTATATTCCATGGAATGCTCTTAACATCCCGATAGCAATGAATACATTAAATGCTTTGACAATAAATACATAAAATAATTTCATCTGTGGAAGCCGTAGCGCTGTAAAAAGCACGACCAATCATCTGAGCCGGCCCGGCTAAAATAACTGGATGGCCTACCTGCCTGTCAGCCTTCCATCTGTGCACAAACTTATCTCGTGCCCTCATTGGTCATGTGCGCGTTCGTGTATGTTGGAGGAGGGGCTCTGTAAGGAAGTCTGAAGGAAGAGGCAGATTTTTTTCGGCTGCGTACTTTCAAATTCTAGCGCACTCGAGCTGGTTTCTCCAAAATGACATACCCCACCTTTAATGCCTTTTCTGAGAAAAGAAAGGGAACTAGTAAGCCATCTTTTTCAACTTAAGTTGAAATGTCCCCCCTCTATTATTGATAACTGTGTTGCCACAGTTCTAATACCACAACAGCAGACCATTGTTATATCTATGAGCCTCCCTCTTATTTACTCCTGTGAGCCAACATGGTGGACACGGCAGTCACCGAGCACATCTGGTTTCTCCTGAAGTTGCGCACTTGGCAATGACGTAGAACCAAAGATGGAGGAGCTGAGGGTGCTGGCCCATCTGTTTCAGCTGAAACCCCAGTTTCTGTGAGTGAGAGACAGGATCTGCGGTGGTGATGATGCAGAGCCAAGATGGAGGAACAGAGGGGACGGAGCACACATCTGTTTCTGCTCAGCTAGCAGCTCAGTTCTGAGGAAAAGGGGCCTGTAGAGCTGGCTTTACTGGGGAATGGACACTGTGCTCGCCAAGTCAGCCTGCTGCCTTCCTGGCACTGCAGCAAGAGCCACACACACACACCGACACACACCGACACACAAAGAGCAAGGGCATCAAGGGCAAAAGCGTAGGCGGCTGTGTGTGTGTGTGTGTGTGTGTGTGTGTGTGTGTGTGTGTGTGTGTGTGTGTGTGTGTGTGTGTGTGTGTGTGTGTGTGTGTGTGTGTGTGTGTGTGTGTGTGTGTGTGTGTGTGTGTGGTATTCTGGGTTGGACCATACTTGGATGCACCGGGCCAAGCAGCAACTTTGTCGGAATGTTTGCTCTTTGACTCTCTGTCTCTCCGTCTTTCCATCTCTCTGTTCCCTGTGATGAAGTTCAGGTTCATTTTTTTTTTTTACAAACCTTTCCATCCTTTCCCCCTCTTCTTTCATCTGTCCTTCAAACCTGACATTCCTCTATGTTTTCGTTGTTAGGCCCCCTACCTCCCGCCCAAACCTCTGGACCCTCATGCTCTGATTGTTTTACAGGAAGCCCAGTCACGGGGTGTTTCTGCGTGTGTGTGTGTGTGTGTGTGTGTGTGTGTCCGTCTTTGGTGTGTGTTGTGTGGTACATCTAGCTGACTCAGCCTAATCTCCAGCCAAGTACTGAGACCCCGGCAGACCAGAATAGACAACCGATGACATGCTGACATGGTCCTGTCCGTCATGTGTGATATTGTTGTTAAATCATGACTGTATGCGCTATCACATGAAACTGTGATGCTCACAAGCTGAGCCGTTCACCTCGCTTTCCTTTTCCTGACAAATCCCTATGTATTCCTTGGTGTGTGTGTGTGTGTGTGTGTGTGTGTGTGTGTGTGTGTGTGTGTGTGTGTGTGTGTGTGTGTGTGTGTGTGTGTGTGTGTTTTGCATTTGCAGTGCTTTCTACGAGTGTATGTGTGCAGGTTTAAATGCAATCAAGTGAGAAATGATTATAATAATAGGAGCAAATGATAATTTACCTATTTTTAAAGGGCATTTTCACAACACAAAATGTTTTCTTCTTGAAATCTAGTCATTTCTTGTTTGTTTTAATTGCATATGTTGGGAAGTATTTGTCTCATAAACAGTGCAAATTGTTCTTCCGTCCCATTGCAGTGAATTAATGAGCATTTTGCATCCTCATTTCTCTTCAACAGAAAGGCTACAAAGGATAATTATTTAATATAACATCATCTATCATTTTATTTTTTGTTATGCCAGCACACCAAAACAAACAAAAAATCATTCTATAATGATGTAAAAACGAATTATAACATTGTATTTAATAACTTATTGAAAAAGGAATAGGAATAACTTTGTATAAAAACTAATTATCCCAACAAAACTATTTTTCACTATGGAAATGAAAGTAAATAACAAGATGGTTATGTTCAGAAATGTCTCTTCAAACAAATAGGACATTTAAGTTCACATTAACGACCATTCTTGTGGATTGGTGGAAAGCAAAGGCATTCCCACACTGATGCACATATAATATTCCTCTGATCTGACACCCATGCTGTGAGGCACCAACGTACAGTTTTATGAGGAGGGTACATTTAAAGATCAGTTTGAAAGTAAACAACAAGGGAGTCGATAGATTTATGTGTCTGGTTGTGTTTTCCTGTCATCACCTCTGTGGATAACCATTTCTGCTGTGTGTGTGTGTGTGTGTGTGTGTGTGTGTGTGGTGTGGGTGTGTAGTGTGTGTGTGTGTGTGTGGTGTGTGTGTGTGTTGTGGTGTGTGTATGTGTGTGTGTGTGTGTGTGTGTGGTGTGTGGTGTGTGTGGTGTGTGGTGTGTGTGGTGTGTGTGTGTGTGTGTGTGTGTGGCGTGTGCGTGTGTGAGTGTGTGTGTGTGTGTGTGTGTATGTGCATGTGCGTGCTAAAATGAAATACTCTGCCGTGTCAAAAGACATGTCATTAAAGAGGACAGTGTGTGTGTGTGTGTGTGTGTGTGTGTGTGTGTGTGTGTGTGTGTGTGTGTGTGTGAGTGTGTGTGTGCACCCTCATGTAAAACTCCTTATGTGTGTGTGTGTGTGCGCGATAAGGCTACACTGTGGTGTCTAAATCTCAGAGCTCAAAGGTTTCCTTCATCTCAAGCAGGACTCTACAGGTATGTGCCTCCCCCCTCCCCCTGCTGTCTCCCCTCTCACTCTCACCCCCCCTCCCCCCTCTGGCTCAGCCTTCACCAACAAGGCCGGTATTGTAGCGAGGGTAAAACGATAGCGCTCAGGGACGGGTTCAGCTATGTGGTTACCCAGACAACCTCTCATACCCCCTTCCCCACCTTCACCACTAACCCCCCCCCCCCCCCCCCCCGTCAAATTCACCTCAATGAGGCTGCATACATCCATTCATTTTTTTGTGGGTGACTTTCTGTGAGAAAAAAAGAGCGAGAGAAAGAGAGGAACGAAAGGTGTGTTTTATTTGGCCCGCTTGAATGGACGGGGGCATTGAGGTTGAAGAGGACAAAGGCAGTCACATAGAGGCAGAGAGGGAGGTCAGCGAGGATAAAAGTTATTCCTCCAGAAAGAAGTATGAACCTGTTTGGTTTCATGTTCAAATATCTACTGTTCAACATAAAACTCCTGAGTAGCAGCAATGTAAGACTAAAGGAATGTGCAGATATTAAGAGTGTGTCTCCTTGGAGTGTGATTTTCTAAATAGAAAAACACATCACTCTATGATCCTTTGATTTGGCTCTTTTGGATTTATCTGTGGGCTTTTCGGAAAGGAACAGTGAACAGTTGTTGCAGTGTGCCAGTCTCTCTTTATACTTTGAGTGCGTATGTGTGTGTGTGTGTGTGTGTGTGTGTGTTCCTACCTTGTGTGTGTGTGTCTGGTTCACTGTTTCTTGGACTGCTGCGGAGTCGTCTCTCTGGCTTCTTCCCTCCTGGACTGCCGAGTCCGCCCCCTGACCCCAATGACCCAAGCGAGGGGGCGTGTGATTTGTTGCTGCATCAAAAAAATAAGGTTAAACCAGAAATGTGTGTAAGTTAGAGAAACAACATGACATAGTGCAAGCCAAAATGTAAACATTTGAATACATAATTACGACCAGGGATACTTTTGAACACAGTGAAAGAGCATTTAGGTTGTTTTTGAGCTATATTCTCAACCCCTTAAAGGTGGGGTAGGTAATTTTGGAGAAACGAGCTCGAGTGCGCTAGAATTTGAAAATACACAGCCGGAAAAAATCTGCCACTTCCTTACAGAGCCCCTCCTCCAACACACACGAACGCGCACATGACCAATGAGGGCACGAGATAAGTTTGTGCACAGATTGGAAGGCTGACAGGCAGGTAGGCCATCCAGTTATTTTAGCCGGGCCGCAGATGACATTTCTTTATGGATTTTTTGTCAAAGCACTTAAGATATTCATTGCTATCGGGATGTTAAGAGCATTCCATGGAATATAACAAAAAGTGTATCTCGAGCCGGTTTCTCAAACTTACCTACCCCTACCTTTAAAGGTCTGATCATAGCCAGACACTGAAAAATATTGGAATATTCTTCACACATATAATTGAGGGTAATTGACAAAATTACATATGCCGAAGTAACGAAATTACAAACATGTTTTGAAATTGATAGTGATAACACAACATAGGACCAGGTCTTATCTAAATTGTAGTCCCCTTTTCATCGCTTAATGTGTGAAAAAAGACAACCAATCAGTGGGGGGAAGCAGGGTGGTCACCTGTTATCCGTTGTGTGCTGGCCCCAGGCTGCCCTTATAGAGAGGGGAGGGAGGGGAGTTGAGTCGGTTCTGTCGCTCTAGTTGTCTCTCCTTGATCTTTTTGGGCTGTGGCTTACTGTATGTCTCCTCTCTGCCTATGTAGTTAGACATCCCATACACAGGGATGATTTCTGAAGGACAGAAACAATATAAGTCAGCATAAATCACACATTTTAAAATAATGTAATTCTTGATTCTGCAAAGTCCTCTGTTGATTTGGCAGTAGCAGAAAGGCCAGTCAGCATGTCATTACCTGGATCCCCGTACATGGGGGGGAGGTGGTGCTGGTAGTACTGGTGGGGGGACAGGTCCCCGGGGCTGACAGGGGGGTAGAAAGAGTGAGAGTTGGGGATGAAGTGGGGGTGAGTCAGGTAGGGGGGGAGGTGGTGTGTGGGGGAGAGGGCCGGAGAGTAGGAGGGAGGGTAGCATTCTGGAGACTGGGGGGTCACCACCACCCGGCGGACGCCTGTGTTATCCTCCAGAACCTGCGGGAGACACGGAAGAAGAGACAGGGAGCTGAGTGTCAGAGGAAGTCACAGCTCACCGCCAACAGAACCCTTGGAAATGTTGCACACACATCCAAAATTGCTTTTGTGCCCACAAATCATGTGAGGTCAGCAAAGTGCACGCCGTCTTTGACTGATTTATACGCTGTTGAGACGAGGGTTTGCAGGATAGTGCTCGCTCAAAGTGGTTCAGAATTACTTCAAACTATAGGACATCGACCTCTGCAGTTTCTACATACTGTTACTCACATGTTTACTATATAAATATCCTTGTGTGAATTATTTTCTGTACTGTCCTGTGTCTCTCTCTTATTCTATTCCTGCTTTACAAACTGAATCTCCCTACGGGGATCAATAAAGCTCTATCTTATCTTATCTTATAAGAGTTACGCTGATATCACAGGTTTTTATGTACTTTACATACCTGGAATGGCTTTAAGGAATAGTCAAACACTGTATTGACTAAGATGAGAAGATTGATACCACTCCCTTTACTGTCAAATATGAGGCATCAGCCAACAGGTATTAATATTCTTGTGTAATTGTTGGCAAATGAATAAGCAAACTGTCAAAGTAGTCTTTTAAAATTGTTACAGTCTTTGTATCTATTTAAAAAAAGCAATTTCTCAAACATTCAAAGGTCTTAGAGCACCTGCTCCTACAAAATGATGCTGTCAATCATTTGCTAGCGAGCAGGTGCTCTGTCGGTCAAATAGTGGATATCTAATAAAAGAATGAATACCATCATTACTTTAACAAGTGAGACATTGTGCTAAAAGCATGCGTTGGCCCTTTGAGTGGTGAAAACAAGAGCTGCAATGTTGCCATCAGATGGTCTGCAGATTTCAATAACAACACGTTTCAAAGAGCTGCCTCAAATTAACATATATTCTTTAAGTGTATTCACTTTCACATTCACGGATAGGACGAACACACACGAACACATTCCAACTATTCAGACGCTCTCACAGGCCTGCATTCCAAGCAGAGAGCAAACACACACTCCCTGCAGAGAGGGGAAGTCATCTGCTGGTCCCTAACAAAAACAACAACACACACACACAGACACACACTCACCCCAACAACAATACCCCAAAACCCCAACAGTGAGAGGCAACAGACTCTGTGCCAGAATACGACAGACAGAAAGAAAGAAGAGAGAGTATTAAAGGGGGTCGGGAGGGGAGGAAGAGGGTTACTAATCTGAGTGAGAAAAACTAAAAAGGGGGAGAGGAGGCCCCCGATCTGCGCCTGATCCCTCCTCCCCTGCTGCGGAGGAGAAAAACAGAGTGTTTACAGGAAAACAGGGGCAAAGTTCCTGCAAGAGTACATGTGGACCGACCTATCAACCCACGCAACATTTACTGGCAAAGAGAGACACACACACACACACACACTGGAAGGCACATACAAATATGCATGCAAAATCACAATTCAACCATTAGTACACATCACAAAGGACACACACACACACACACACACACACACACACACACACACACACACACACACACACACACACACACACACACACACACACACACACACACACACACACACACACACAACACACACACACACACACACACACACACACACACACACACACACACACACACACACACACACACACACACACACACACACACACACACACACACACACACACACACACACACACACACACACACACACACACAAAATCCATCTGCCCATGCACTACTTTCCACCACCGCAGTGTGTTCTCCATCCATCCCGTCTCCCACCCCTACAGTACATCCCATGAAAACCTTCAGTGCCTGTCTCCCTTATCAGGCTTGTTTATGTAAGAGTGACAGTGTTTCCCGCTCACTCTTGGCCCGGTCCCTACTCACACACACACCCACACACATGCAAACACAAACACACACCCACGGTGAGCCAATGACCTGACTTCCATTGGCATATGAACACGGTCCCGCCACATGCAGACCACAGACGCATGTGTAACACTATACTTGTGCGGACAGACTATTGACTCTTGTTGTTTGAAAAACCTTTAATCCCTCCACACCCCCGACATGGCAAACCTAACCCTTGCTCAATTTATAATGTCGAACTTGAAGGTAAGAATCTGCACTTTGGGAGATGTTTCTCATCTTTCTGTTCTTGTGAGGACATAATGAAGAACACACATGCTCACTCTCTCCCTCACACACACCACCAGAGAGAGAAACTCACAAAAACAAGAGCCCCCTAACACCCACAATTCAGCACATTCCTGGAGGAGGTTGCTTATCAAACTCCAGACCAGGATCGGTGTAAAGCCTGGTGTATGCTTTCCTGTGTAGTTAATATGTCTTCGATCATCATTAATGGAGAACACTTAATCCCAATACAAGTTAAAGACTTGTAGCCAGTTGTGCTTTACTCAGAAAACTTCTTGTGTCATCTTTCTTTGCAATGCAACCAATTCTGAGCTATAAAAATTTCAATTTCATTTTCTTACCGTTTCCATGATAACAGTAACAAGCCTCAACTGACATCTAAGACTTCATAATTTGTATTGGAAAGATGTTTAAATGATGTGAAGTTTGTATACTTATGACTTACCTTTGAACTAATCAAATTGGATTTTTAGAGTCCATATTAGATCATAATACTTGCATACAAGACTTTTTTGGAAAGAAAGAAAAACAGCGGCTAATGAAATGCAGTCGCACACTCTGTGTTGGTCTGCCTGGAACTCCAGGAAAACACAAACACATGATGATCATAAAAACATGTCTGAGATGATTAGAGTGAGGAGAAACACACACAAACACATACTAACCTGTGAGATGTATCCTGGGGGGACGTGGATGGGGGGGAATTGACCCATGTGGGGACATCATGGGGACCTCAGCAGGACCTGCAAGGAAGGAGAAGAATTATTTATTTAACCAGGCAGCTAGAGTACATTCTCATTTACATGTGTCAATCAACAGGATCAACACAAACACAGCCACACACACACACACACACTGAGGGGCCGGCCACTGAGGTGGACACAGATGTCACACTTTTCCAGTGAATCAACTTTGATCATATGGTAAATGACAGCCATTCCTTTCTTTTTTATTTCTTGGCAAACAGACTTAGGAAGATGATGATGTCTGCAGCATCATGATAAATGTTCTAGATGAGAACGCCGGAGGGCACATGAGCGGCTCACTTGAGAAGGAAAACCACCGATCTGCAGGAGAAGCAAGAGGACCTAATAGAATTAGCAGATTTAAAATGATGTTGACTTTTCCACAATCCATATCTCCCCCTCCAAAAAAACTCTCCAGCGCTCTCTTCCTACGTCTCTCTGTGGTGTGGTGGAGGGTCCTCAGGCTGGTAAAGTCATTGGGACCCCCGCTGGGACGGCTCGTGGATCTGGCCCTCCGAATAAATCACACTGCACTCACACACCACCTCACACACACCACACTAGGCCATTAGTCACAAGTGAGATTAATCATGGTTTCTGTCAGTTTAATATTTTAAAACCCTGATTTTGATAAAAGGCTAATGTCCACCAAATTAAAGAAACAACTAGTAGGTGTACTTCGGATAATTATTTATTACTTATTATTTTGTAATTAATTCTCTTTACCTTTCACTTGGTCTCCTTTCTTCACAATTTCTCCTCATTCTTGTGTCTCACTTATTAGTTTTTTTTCCACCATGCTATTACTCACATGATCTTTCTATTTTATACCTTTTTACTGCTCTCCAATCCCTCCATCCCCCATTTTTAGGAATTCCTCCCTGCATGATCCCCTCCTAGTGTCCCCCAACACCTTCACCTATTACTCACATCCCTTCAACTCCCCTCCTTTCATTGAAATATTACCAATTTCATCCTTCCTTTCTTTCCTCCTAAGTCATTTCCTGCGTTCATAAATCACCTCTTCATAATCATCTCCTCTTTCCTTCCATCTCTCCATCCCACCTCCGTGACGCCTCACTGGCTAAACAAACAGGTAACAGCACAGTAAACACACACACACCTACGCATACAGTACACAAACTGAGCAAAGTCTGCAGTGTGGAATACTGTTTGTGTGTGTGTGTAAATATGTGTAGTGTGTAGGTCTCAGGTATGAAGAGACAGACCTCTCTCAGTCCGGTCTGCTCCCCTACCATGGAGACTATGAGTGGATATGAAAGTCCTCATTGAGTAGAAGGTCATAGCATGGGGAACACACACACACACACACACACACACACACACACAAACACAGTGCCCCTCTGAACCACCTTCCATCACTGCTCATTTAGCACACTTTCTCTCTCACACTCACACCAATATACACACTCCTACGATGCGTCTCTTTTTCAGACACGCACACACACACACACACTCTCGACAAACAGACGTGTGTTTGGACAGTCTCTGCTGCCTCTCTGCTTTTCACTCAGCAACATTCCTCTGCTCAAACACACACACACTCACACATTCCCATCCCTGGCCCCCAGGACTGGACCCAACAGGCCCAAATACCCCCCATCCCCTCCCCAAAATACAAGAAACTCTTTGTCCTGCTGCTACCACACACACACACACACACACACACACACACACACACACACACACACACACACACACACACACACACACACACACACACACACACACACACACACACACACACACACACACACACACACACACACACACACACACACACACACCACACACACACACACACACACACACACACACACACACACACACACACACACACACACACACACACACACACACACACACACACACACACACACACAGTAAGTCATATAGCATAAGCCTTTTTGCCATTTAGAAAAGCTCAGGATAATCAAGCAGGTGAACGTGTGGACTCAAGTGGCTTTTATTGTGTGTGTGTGTGTGTGTGTGTGTGTGTGTGTGTGTGTGTGTGTGTGTGTGTGTGTGAGAGAGTGTGTGTGATCCACTCTGTGGTAACGTCACTCTCTGGTCTTGCCTACAGCTTTGCCCTTTAAGCACCACAAACAGACTCAAGACTTCCTCTGGCTAATCCTGCTGGAATCCCAGACAACCCAGCTAACAAACTACGCTCTGCCGCTCCGCCTCCCTCCCTCCCTCCCTCCCTGCCTGCCTGCCTGCCTCCCCCCCTCTCCCTTCTCATCTTCCATCTGTTGCTTCTTCCGCTTCCGACTACCGGAGAGGTCAGGCCAGATCAGTTATGAGGTCGTATCCTGCATGTGTGATGACATCAGTGTATTACTTAAGCAACTTGCGGGTATAACCATGTGTAAAATGGCGCTTTGAGAGGCATCAAGGGGGTCTCCTTCTCTGGTTGGTAACTTGATGTACATATGATCAGAATATCAAATTAGATGTACTAATTACTAATAAGAGCTAGGCAATGGGTTATAATGTAATACTGTATTATCATTAGTGGATTTCAGTGATAAATTATTATGATGTTCTGCTCTGTTCTGTTTATAAAATGCCCTAATTAATGACTTGTGAATGAATAGTTGTTGAGGAATGTTGTTTGCACATTTTAAGAGTTTTTAAGGTCTAAAATAAATCATAATGCTGGAAGACAGTTTACTGCAAGAGACATTAATTAGATTATCTCATCATAATCATGTCAATTAAAGATTGTCACAAAATAGTCCTATAATAACATTGTGAAATTGATTTTAAACCAGAACACCCTGCTCCAGGTTTTATGGTATAAATAACAAACATATATAACATTATAATAAATCAATGATTAACCTGATCCTCTGTTCTTTACAGAGGCAGGCCGAGTTTGCCATCTGCTCTGTTATCAATATTTTAAACTATTTTGATCAATATTAATACCATTAATGGAGTGTTATAGTGGAAAATCGCTACAAACATATCACTTTAAATTCCATACAAAACTTCAAAACCACAATCTATGGCTTAACAATCCTGCTGTGATGGTGGCCACTGATGTGCGTTCATTTTTGAGGGTTAGTGACTCGGGCACATATTTGTTTAAGAGCGCTGTCTAAAGCAACTAAGACGACCGCAGGAATGTTGATGAGTTGATGTAACAAAGAGACAAAACAACAACAAACAACTCTGACGCACAGGGGGAAACGTATAAAGGAAAACTGACAGGTGTTAAATGGAAAAATACATTTTGAAGTACAATGAACCTAAGCTTATTGTCAAAGAAATAGAACAAGCTGTCACACAAACACCACATTTTTCAGAGTCAAAGATTTATTCAACTAATATACACATGTCCATGGTAAACATCCTGTTTAATACCACACACACACACAACCTCAGTCAACCTAATATGCTCAACTCTTCGATACAAATTGGTTTAAAAAAAAAAAAAAAAAAAAAAAAAAAAAACTGACATGGCATTTACTCGTGACTTTGTCCAGCTGCCCACACATACATGGATGTACTGTTCATATATGCAGAGACAGAGGACATGATGCAATATCTCATCAGATGATTCCCATGATGCAGCTGTCAAATACAGCTGCCACTGGGCCCCCGAAGCACAACACAGACACACAAACAGAGACAGAGTCTCACACGCACTCATCTATTGATCCACAGAACTGAAACAGTGTATGTTTATGGACGACCAACTGTGTGTCTCGGTTTGTGTTCTGTCTGTGGAACTGAAGCAGCATTGAGTGAAACACTTTCTCTCGTTCCCTTCAGTTCAGCGCCGCACATGTGGTCGCCACATTGAAAGGAAACGCAGACCCTCTCGGGAAGGTGTGTGTGTGTGTGTGTGTGTGTGTGTGTGTGTGTGTGTGTGTGTGTGTGTGTGTGTGTGTGTGTGTGTGTATCAGACCGAAGCAGCCTGTTTTTGAGCTGACCTACATACAAAACAACTGGACTCAGATGGATTCCCAAAAACACAGACAATAAAAAAAACATAGCGTTACTAAATAGACAGACTTAGGAAAAAAAGGACAACACACACACACACATCTAGAGGGGCTCTGATAGGGTATACAAAGGTGGTGTGTGTGAAAAGGAGTAAAAGAGGGAGAAAGAGAAGTGCGCAGCGGAGAAGGAAGGCTGAATGTGAGGACTCTCTTTGCTCGCGCTGTGTCAGACGTCCTCAAGGCTGGTTCTGCCTTGGCGAACCCTCGGTGTGTGTGTGCGTGTGCCGCGTGCGTGGGGTTTTTTTTTTTTTTTTTTTTTTTGTGTGTGTTGTCGGTTCAGTTCTGACGTGGTATTGCCTGCGAAGTTATGTAAGCATCAAGCAGGGTAATGTTATCTTGTCCTCGGAGCTCCACCAGAGGCAAGACACTCCCACGGACCAGCTGCCCTCTGCTGCCGGGACCGATAGACACTCACACACATCACACACACACCACACACACACACACATGCAGACACACACACACACATCCCACACACACCCACACCACACACACACACACCACACCCCACACTACACCACACCACACACACACACACACACACACACACACACACACACACACCCACACACCACACACACACCACCACCACACAATCACACCACACACACACCACACACACACACACACACACACACCACAAACACCACACCCAACCACAACACACCACCACACCCACACACACACCACACACACACACACCCCCACACACACACACACACACACACCACACCACACACACACCACACACACACACACACACACACACACCCCACACCACCCACACACCACACACAGTAGGAGCATGGGCTTTGTTCATATTTTTTAAGATCATAACAATATTACAAATCCCTATAGATCCTGTGTTCCACCGCTACAGCTCATAGACAAAGCCCTGGGAGAGAATAGGAAACAGAGGACGGAACCCGAGAAAGAAAGAAAGTGGTGCATGATGGGAGGGGT